TATCAACCCTTTCTGCCTCGCAGCTAACAGAGGTAGTTACAAAGTGACCAGCGGCGCCTGCCAGTCCCTCCCAGCCAGCGCCTGTCTCCACATTGGGAAAACAACTGAGCCCCTGGGGGAGAAGCAGCCAATGACTCGGGGGCGGGGGGCGGGGGGAGGGGCTCCCAGTGACTGTTGAGTCAGCATGTGGAGCTGAGGGGCTGAGCCAGGCACTGGCAGTGCCCCTGGGCACCACACTGCCGGGAGCCCACCTGAAAAGGCGGTCTCGGCCAGCACCCCGTGTCCATCTGTCTGCAGCCAGGCCTCAGCCCCGCGTCCGTCTGTCTGCAGCCTGGCCTGAGCCCCATGTCTGTCTGTCTGCACCCCGGCCTGAGCACCACGTCCGTCTGTCTGCAGCCTAGCCTGAGCCCTATCTGTCTGCTGTCGTGCCCCATGAGTACTGTGGGTTTCCTCCCGCCTGGGACTTAACCACAGGGACTCCCACAGGGCCCCACTGGGTTAGGACAGTTCCTTGCCACCCAGCACAGGTCTCCTGAATACCAGGCCACGTGGACACAGCAGGGAGGGCCGGGGGTGGCTTGGCTCCACTGAGCTCCCCACCCAGCCCTCCCGGTGAGGCCGCGCTCAGGACTGGGCACCCGTTGGTTTCTGGTTCTCACAGCCCTGGAAGGCCAGGAGTGCCCCACCCGAGGGAGCCCCCAGCTCCGGGCACGGCCTCACCTCTTCTCCTCCTCCAGCTGGTTCAGCAGCTCCACCTTCTCCCAGTCGGTCGCTTCCAGCATGGCCCGCAGCTCGTCGTTCTTGGCCTCCAGCTCCAGGACGTGCTGTAGAGGCAACGGCGCGTGAGTGGCCTCGCCCGCCCCCAACAGCCCTCTGGGGGCTGGCATCGCCACCTGTCACCACGGCAAGCTGAATGCATCTCCCACCTAAGCTACGGCATTTCTGGAAGGCCAGAGAGGAACCACACCACGAAAGCACCGGTGCGGACAACTCGGCACTCCCTAAACCCCCACAGGGCGAGCAGAAGGCGCATGCGATCAAACCACGCGCCGGACGCCACCGCAACGACGGCAGACGGGGACCCACGGCCTCTGCCTGCACCGCCTGCACCAAGCTCGCGCCCAGCCTCTACCGCAGGCGTCTCTCGGCCCCGGCACTGCCGTCTGCACAGACGTCACCTGGTCGTGCCCGTTCCGGCCAGCGCCAGCTCCTGCTCTATCTCCCCCATGTGGCTCGTGGCCTTGGCCACCTCCGCCCGCTCTAGGTCCCGCTCGGCCAGCAGCTTCTCAATGTGCTGCTGCTTCTCCTTCAGCGCCTCCTGGAGGGCGGTGGTGCCAGAGATCTTGTGGGCGTAGCGGAGGAGGTTTCTGGCAACTGCAAAGGAAAAAGAGACGTGAAGGGGATGGGGCCGGCCGACACGGGCATGCTCGCGGTGATCCTCAGCAAAGCACATGGAGCAGTGCTGCCTCCTTGCATATGGGCCAGCAACTCTCAGCAGAAACGTCTTGAAACCTTCCCGAAGATCCTTGGACGGGACCTGGGCTCCACTGACCTCGGGCCTCGTGGGAATCCAGAGACTCTTCTGCAGAGCCGGAGGCAGCCCCCTCCACAGCCCGCTCTGGCCTGAGCTTCCTTAAGGATGAGCCCTTGGCATGAGCTTGAGGCCAGCTCCAGCATCTTCAGCCTTGCAGGTCCGTCAGGCAGCCTGTCCCTGGGCAGCCTGTCCCTTCTCTCTTCCTCTTCCTTCCAGCTCACCTCGCTCTCCTGGGCACCGCCCCATGCCTGAATAGCAGTAACCAGTGACTCTTGTCTCTGGGAATGGCCCCGTGACCCCGGGGGTCACTGGGTGTGACCCTATAAAAGACCCCTGTGCCATCTGCCTTCGAAAATGGGAGATGAGAGGCTAGAATGATAAAGTTGCGGGAAAGGCGCTGGCCTTGCACGCCGCTGACCCGAGCTGGATAACAGGTACCCACCCCATAGGGTCCCGAGCCCACCAGGAGTGACTCCTGAGTGCAGAGTCCAGAGTAAGTCCTGAGTATTGCTGGGGCATGGCCAAAGTCCAGGGGAAAAAAAAGGAAAAAGTGGTGGGTTCGAATGTGTGAGGGCTCACGCCCAGCGAGCAGGACAGCAAGGGCAGCTCAGGGAAAGACCAAGCACAAAGGGAAGGAGAGAAGAGGCAAAGACAGTGAGGAGGGGAGGGGAGTGGGCTGAAGGGCTGCGGGGACCGGGGGTCCTGTCCGTTCTATCCTGGGCTCATGGTCGCTCATGGTCGCTCTGCAGACCCAGATCCCTCTCTGCACAACGGCCCCTGCAGGAGGGGACAAGGCGGGACCTGATCTTCATTCTTCGGGCACATGGTGGCGGGGGCTGCAGCGGCGATGGCCAGGACTTCCGCTCCTTCTGCCCGGCCATCCCTGTTCCATCGCCCTGCTGCGGTCCAGCCGCAGGTTCTCTTGCCGCTTCCCCGCATCATCTGAGCTGCTGCCAAACGCCTCCTGACCGACGGGCCCAGTAGGGCCCAGGCTGTCCACTGCTGTTTTGCCTGCTGGGAGCTCTCGAGCCACCTGGTTCTGTCCGGAGAGCGGGATCATCCTTGCCTGTGCGTAAGGACCTGGCCGTGATTTCCCGATACACTTCAAGTATATCTGGTCCGATTAAATGCCCTCCCCAGGGCCAAAGAGTCTGTTGGGAGGGGTAGGGGAAGGTGCTTGCAGAGGTTCAAGATCCAGCACCATCAGGAGTGACCCCACCCCCCAAGCAGAGAGCCAGGAATAAGCCCTGAGCACCCCTGGGTGTGGCCCCAAAACCAAATAATAACTAAAATTTCTAGGAGCACACGAGCTCTCGGGCCAGCCATGTGCAGTGCTCCCGGGAACTGCAGTCAACTCGGATTTCAAGGGGTGGCTGGGAAGAGCTTGCCAGCCTTGGGGGTCTAACACCAAGACCCGGGCTCAACCCCCCTCCACCGGGAGCAGCCCCCAAGCACCATGCCTGGAGTCCCTGAGCACTGCCAGGTGAACCCCAAAGAGCAAAAATAAAAACTAAGAAAGGCGGGCGGCGGTGTTCCCTGAGCCTCCTGGCCTGAGCGGGTGGGGCAGGCCAGACGCACGCGCTTCCTGGGCCCGAGACAGCTCCCTCAGGAAACCAGCACAGGAGCGATGGGCTTCTTTCAGCCAACTATGGAGACGAGACTGTGAGGTTCAGGCGCCGGAGCAGGGAGAAAGCAGCACCCCTAGCATGGGGGGAGGCGCGTGCTGAGGGGCTGGGCAAGGTCGGGGCCACGAGCTGAACTCAGGATGCTGATGCCAAAGCCTCTGCTTTGCGCGTGTTTTGTGAGGCCCCAGGCTCCATCCCAGCAAGGCCAGGCCTTCTGTGGGAGCCTGGTACCTCAGAAGAACAACTCAGCCAACAGACGAACAGGGAGGCCTCCACAGGGCACGCACGGACCCGTGTGCATGTATGTATGCGTGCATGTATGTTCCGGTGGGCATATCTACACGCACCTGTGTGCATGCGCGCGTTGTGTTTATGCATGTATGTGCCTGTGTGTGTATTCCCATAAGCCTGTGTATATACGGTATGCACTACGTGTACATGTATGAGTGACTGTGTGTATGAACGCTTGTGTGTGCACTTATGGAATTATATTGTCGAGGTATACTTTCGTGAAGTCACACAGAATCTTTCTATATTCCTGTCATAGACGCTAACGGTGATGTTCAGTTTAGGAGTGAGCTCCACCCTGCATAAAGATATGCAAGGCAGGGACCAAAGAGCTGGAGAGCGAAGCCCCAGCGCTGCCCAGGCTCAATCGCGGAGGCCCGCCAGGAATAATCCCGAGCACAGAGGTGGGAGAAAGCCTTGAGCTCTGCCAAGTGTCACCCCAAAACAGAACAAAACAAGACAGCGGGGAGAAGCTGGAGATACGTCTCAGGCGTAGGGCTCTTGCTTGGAGGTGGGAGGCCCCGGCACGACCCCAGCACTTCAAACGGCCCCTTGAAGCACTGTAGGGTATGGCCCACAGTCAAGCAGAAAAACAAAACCAAATTCCACAAATGGGCTGGCTCGCGAGGGAAGGAGAGGGGCTTCTGAGTCTGCTCCCCTCCTAAATGGTGAGGCGAAGGGAAGGAGGAGTCGGACGTGAGGATGCACGTGGGGCAGGAAAACCTGGTGGTGGTCGAGCAAGACAGGACTGGCCCCAGGCCTGTGCCCACGGCGCGTGGCCTCCTGGCTCCAGTTCCCGTGTCATCTGTTTTGTATCTTCCGTTGCACACACACTCACTCCCTCCTCTTCCGCATCGAGGGTCAATGCACGGAGCAGAGGCAGCGGCAGGAAGCGCAGCCCCCAGCAAAGTCAGCCCCCCGGGACACCCTCTCCATCGTGGGCCCGTTTCCCTGTGGACAATATCTCAGGGCACCCTTGCATATTCAGACACACTTTAGTGTTTATGACTCAGATAGACGTGAGGGGAGAAGCCACGAGGCCCCAGCTTTGAATTGCGGCACCGCAACGGACAGAAGTCGAGGCCACTCTGCATGTGGACAGCGGTGCAGAGGGACAGGAGGGAGCAGGGAGAGACGGAGAGAGCAAAGAAGCAAGATGAAGGGCCAAGCGTTCCCCAGAGTCTCTGGGTCCTGCTCTGACCCTCAGGCGCCCCCTTCAGCTACCCCACTTCATCCCTAAGGTGGCCTGAGGCCAGAGAGGAGCCCTGAGCACCCCAGGAAAGGCCCATCCCTGCTCCTGTCACTGGTGGTGGCTGGGAAGCCACTCGCCTGCCACCCGGAGCTGCTCAGCCCACGTGCTCCTGCTCCACCTCTCGCCCCTGGGGCTGTGGGAGTCTGTGGGGGCCCGAGCACCCCGCAGTCGTGGGGGGCTGCTTACTAGTCCCGTGCGGCCGGGTCTGCTGCTCTCGAATGAGGCCCCGGAGCTGACAGAGCTGAGCGAGGAGGCCGAAGGGCTGCGCTTCAGGCTGGTGGGGGTGGTGGCCATCACACACCTCACGGCGGCCACCCTGCCCTTGTCCGGCGTCGTGGACGGGAAGCCGATCTTGGTGACTTTGTGAATGGGAGCAAACAAGCCATACTTGGGCTGACACTGGAAGTACCTGCGGACAACGAGGAGCGGGGGACAAAAACACCTTCGACAAGAGACACAAGCGCCGACCCAGAAGTCCACTGAGTCCCACAGTCTCACACCCCCACAAACGAACACACTCCCACAGCCCCACATACCCACACACTCATACCCCAACAAACACACTCACACACGCACCCCAAACAACACTCCCACACTCTCACACTCCCACCCCAACAAACACACTCACACTCACACCCCAACCAACACTCCCACATTTCCACAGCGCCACACTCACACTCACTCCCCAACAAACATCATACCCTCCACCAGCCCACACTCACACACACTCACAACCCAACAAACACACACACACCCCAACCAACACTCCCACACATAACCACCACAACCAACACACACTTACACTCACACCCCAACCAACACTCCCACACTTCCACACTCTCACAGCCCAACAAACACACTCACACCCCAACCAACACTCCCATACTCTCACACTCCCACCCCATCAAACACACACACTCACACCCCAACAGACACTCCCACATGTCCACAGCCCCACACTCACACACACTCACTCCCCAGAAACACACATACTCACACCCAAACCAACACACACTCACACTCACACCCCACCGACACTCCCACACCCACACACACTCACACCCCAACCAACACTTCCACACACCCACAGCCCCACAGTAACACACACGCACACCCCAACCAACACTTGCACGCTCTCAAACCAACACTGACACGCTCTCATTCCCCCACAAACACGCTCACACCCCCACCAACACTCTCATGCCCACGCCCCCACCAACACTCTCACAGCCCCACACTCACACGCTCACATACACACTCCCTCATACATTCACACCCACACTCGCTCGCATGCCGCCCACCCCCACCACGCAAACCAAGGGCGATTCCAAGCAGGCTCCCCGGCATCTGAAGGGCCACAGCAGGCCCGGAGGGTTCCTGCGGCCCGAGCACAGCTGCATATGGGGGCCCCAGGCTGTCCCCACATCCCTGCAGGGTCCCTGAGTGCCACTGGAAGTGGCCCCGCCTAAGAACCAAGTGAAGTGGCCTGCAGTCCCCTGAGCGCCTCCCGGGCACCGTGCATGGCCCCAGGCTGTCTGGGGGGGCAGGGGGACCCACCTCGTTCCGGCCACGGCACCATCGTTCTTGCCCAGTGGCTTGTCCAGCTCTATGCCGCACCAATCCCCCTTGGCGAAGTCCGTCTCCCCGAGGAAGCGCACCACACTGGCCTCCATGCCTCCCACCTGCCGGAGGGATGGAGGGACGTGGGTCAGGCACCCTGGACTGCGCACAGCGCCCCCACCCCCGCAAACAAACATTCTGGCTTCAGAGTCGGGATTTCCTGAAGAAACCCCAAAGGTCAAAGTGCCATTTCCCCCCGCAACCCCTACAGGGTGAGCAGACGCTGCTGCTCAGTGTCCATGCAAGGCAGCGGCATTCACACCCACTCGCTGTCACCGGTGGCCTGGCTGACCACACGCCCCGGAATCTCTGACCCAGGCCAGCCACCTGGTGTGGCGAGGGGGTCGCTGCCCCGTGGGTGTGGGAGCGGAGCACTGGCAACCCCACCGCTGGAGAACAATTAAGCCAGAAACCAGCTAAAGGAAAATGACTGTTCTCGTATCTTAGCAGAGTTCGATCTTCCAGTTCTCCTTCACTATGCCTTGGCTTGACGCTTGGCTCCCGGGACACAGAGCAAAACAGAATCACAGCGCTGGACACTGACAGGAATGCTGACAAACAGGGCTGGAGCACCGGGGGAAGGGTGCTTTGTGTGCGACCACCCTGTGACGCCCCAAGCAAAAACATCGAAAACCAGAGAAATAGAACCGATTTTCAACTTTGTTCATTGGTTTGTTTTTGAGTCACATTCAGAGTGCTCAGGGCTTACTCTTGGCTTGGTGCTCAGGGATCACTCCGGGATGTGCTTGGGGGACTGTACATGGGACCAAGACTTAAACCCCGGGTCAGAGGCGTGCAAAGCATGACCCCTCCCCACGGCATGACCCCTCCACCCTGTTTTGGCTAAACTGGTAAAACTGGCAGCATCCCCGCACGCATCAATCACGCTGGAAACTGCAGGACCAGGCGTCCCGGCTGCTCGTGCTTCCACCCAAACCGCGAGTCTGGAGGAGCTGATGAACCAGACAGGCGAATGGACAGCCACCCGTGACCTCTGCCCTCGGCACTCACCAGCACCTGGTCCCCGAGCTTCAGCTCCCGCTCCCCTTTCTTGAGGGAGCCGGCCTCAGAGAGGTTGGAGATGGACTCGCTGGCCATCCTGGTCAGGCTGCTGATGTGAGGGGTGGCCGGTGCCTCCTTCGCGGGGGACTGGGGCACCTTCGCGGTGCCGGCAAGGGCCGGGGAGGCCGACAGGGGCGGTGTGGCCCAGGCGACAGGCGCTGGCTGCCGGCAGTTGGTCTCATCGTCGGCCTGCAAGCTCCTACTCAGCTTGGACGGCCGGGTGAAGATGCCCTTCAGCGGCTCGCACTGGAAGTAGCGCACACCCGCCACCGAGCCGTCGTTCTTGCCGATGGGCTCGTCCAAGACGATCCCGGCCCACTGACCAGGGGCAAACTGGGTCTCCCCGAGGAACTGGATGAATCCAGGCTTGTTCCCGTTCACCCAGACTCGTTCCCCGACCTGGAAGTCGCCCACAAACTCCTCCTGCATCTCCGAGGAGGGGGCGCTGGGGTTTTTCTCCCCAGGCACGGTCTTCTCAACGGGAGCAGCCGCTGGAACAGCAGAAATGGTCAAAAGGGTCAGAAGGGACAGGAAGGGCCTGTGCAGGTCCAGGTAAAGTGTGGTTGGGGGAGAGGGACACCCAGCAGTGCTCGTGGCTACTCCCAGCCAATGACGGGGGCTGCTTGTGGTGAAGCCTGGCCGGGCCAGCCGTGAAGCGGACGTGCTCACCTACCGCAGCATCCCAGGCCGCAGTCATACTTTGGGCAGCTCAGGGGAAATCTTTGGATACACCCCGTGATACTACGGACCAAGCCAGGTGAAAGCTCGGACCCAGTGTCTTATTTCTGCTGTGTCCACTGGTCCATCTTCTTTTTCTTTTGGGCGGGGAGCAACCCAGCCAATGCTCAGGGCCTATTTCTGGTTCTCCGTGCAGGGTTAATCATGGTGAGGTTGAGGGTGGAGAGTCACATGGGGTGCCAGTTGCCCTCCCCACTGTACTGTGGCTTTGGCCGGCAATGAGGCCCTCTAGTCCAGGTGAGTCCACCTCCCTAAGCCTGTCCCCAAGCCCGGGCAAGGGAGCTAGCAGTTAGAAGGGAGCGGGTTTGTCGCCTCAGCTGTCACCGGTTGCCGTGACACTAAACTCACAGAACGTGACACTCGTGTGTGAGAGCTGTCCCCAGAGCCACGGACATGTCTACAGCTCAGGGAGCCCTTCCCGGGCGAGGACTCGGGATGGGGTTCCCGGGTGGGAATGAGTCTCCGTTGGCCTGGGATGAGCGCACTTACCGGCCGAGGGTGTCTTCAGGGCCCAGCTCCCATGCTTGAGGATCTTGGTGGGGGCCTTCAGCCCGCTGGACCTCAGCAGACTCATGGTCAGGCGGTCAGATGCTGCCGCGGCCACTACCAGGCCCCGACCATCGAGCCCACTGTGGGGCCTTCTGAGGCACACTCGTTCTCAGGACTAAATCTCTGAAGAGCAGAGGAGAGAGTCTGTCTCAGGCGAGCGACCACAGCAGCTTCCGGAGCCCAGAGAGCTGCCAGTCTGGCACTCGCCACCCCGAGTGCGACCCCCAGTCTCCCGCACAGCCCCCTGAGCCCACCAAGTGTCATTCCTGTGCAAAAACTCAATCCAAAACAGACAAACAAACAACTGCCGATTCGGGGCCAGAGAGCAGAGGGGACAGGTACTAGCCCTGCGGGCAGCTGACCCTCGCGCCCTCCCTGCCATCACTCCCACCACCAAACACATTCAGGAGCCAGAAATCATCCCTGAGCACCGCGAGTGTCACTGACCACCTCCCCGTCCAGACACTGACGAGCCGGCAGGCGACTCAGCAGTGATGGCTGGTCTTGTGTGTGCGTGTGTGCGTATGTACATGTGTGAGAGGCCCGGGGTTACACGTAGAAGCTAAGGCAAGCAACAGGCACACTTTTTTCTATGGGCTGAGAACTGCAAGGGAAAAGGGCCCAGCAATACTGCGCCAAAGGGGGGCTGGAGAGCGATAGCACAGTGGGAAGGGCATTTGCCGTGCACGCGGCCGACCCAGGTTCGATTCCCAGCATCCCATATGGTCCTCTAAGCACTGCCAGGAGTGATTCCCGAGTGCAGACCCAGGAGTAAACACTGTGCATCACCAGGTGTGACCCAAAAAGAAAAAAAATTGTGCCAAAGGGGAGCGAAGGAGTTTTCGGCATTTCCTTCATTCCTTGTGACGCTGCCCAGGTTGGATAACCACAAGCCAGTATTAACTCCATTTCTTAACCCACAGAACTGAGGCAGACAGGTAGATGGGGGAAGCGTCCCCATGGCGATAGAACTCCGAGAAAGTCAACAAAAGCTTCATGGCCACCAAAAGACTACCTGAGTGCACGGGACCCAAGGTCTTGTCAAAATTAACCCACATTATGAGGCCCAGAGCAGGCTGGACCCCCCGAGGGAATAGGAACAAAGGGCAGGAAAGGAATTTCTAAGAGGACCATGGACCACTCAACTCTACCCCGTTGGCAACCACCCTAGCAACGGTCTCTAGGTAGCTAGAAACTCCCACCAGGGGCAGCCTGGGGAAATCCCTAGATTAGCCACCTTGAACCAAGAGAGGGCGCTCATGTGTGCCCGAGCCCAGGTACTGCTCTTGCCTATGAGGTCCATCATGTCACGGGCTTCTCCCCTCCTGAGGTGTGGACTTTCAGACCGAATGCAACCTAGCAACATAACATGTTCAGTGGCTTTCTGCACCTCTGAAGAAGCCGCACTCTCTCTCGAGCGTGTTACTCCCTCCCTCCTTCCCCTTCCTAAAGGCCTCCAAATAAAATGTTTCTGCTTCATGCTCATCTCCTGAAATGCTTTTCTGCGAGGAGGACAAAGGCCCGGGGGCCTGAGGAGGTCGAGGATCAACTCCCTTTCCCTGAAAAGGGCAACCCCTCACTCCGGCCCAAGACCCCGGGAAGGCCTAGTGGGCGTCATGGGGCTGGCGGGGCTCATTGCACTCAGCAGTGCCAGTGCTCCAGCCAGTCCCGGAGGAGTGATATCTTCTCCTCTGCTTCTCATCAGCCCCCCATGAGGGCCCACTGACTTCAGAGTCATTCCATATTTCAATAGAGAAGTCCGCAAAGGGAAGAGAGGCAGGACAGTGGGGAGGGCACTTGCCTTATATCCAGTTGTCCTGGGCTCAATCTCTGTCAGCACAGGGACGTTAGCCGGCCAGGGTCACCCCTGGGCACAGCCAGGTATGGCCACCCCACCCCACCCCGCCCCCACACCACCCAAAAATATATATATATAACTAGTAAAAAAACTTAAACTAACTAAAGATTAAAAACTATCATACACTAAAGAACTGTTAGAGAAAAAAGCCGCCGGCACGCGGGCAGAAAGCCCAGAGACTCAGATTCACCTGTGTCACACTGCACTCGCAGCTTCAGTACTGAGCTCTGCCAAACAGGCTCGTGCCAGACTCGTGGAGAGACTGAAAATGGCAGTTGGAGTCTAGAATTTTCTGAGGTAGAACTAGAATTCAGCAAGGAGGAGGGCATCATGGGCCATTCTTAAAGGGGCAGGCGCCACCCTTCGTGATGTCAGTGTCTGGCTGAGGCTCTGGAGGGCTGCCCTTGCAGACGTCAGCACTACATGGCCAACGAGCCTCTGGTCCCTGCGGGGCCCAGTTCTGGATCCCCGGGCCCTGTGAAAGTGGTTTCAGAAAACTTTTGACAAATGTTTGTCAGTTACAGATCTCCAACTGAGGTCATTCAGCATCCCCCGAGTGGGACCTGGACCCAGTGACCCTGCCCAGGGCCCTCCTCAGGAGCCGGGCCAGGAAATCTGTGAGCCGGGGGGGGGGGGCGGGCGGGGGGCAGAGAGACAGGGCAGAGGCCCTGAGTTCGACCCTGACAGCCCTGCTCTCTGTGACCCCAGTGCTGTGAGCAACACCGGCCGCACCGTGGCCAGGGAGTGGCCCAGCCCACTAAGGCCTGAGAGCTGTACAGAGGAGTATGGCCTGGCCTGCTCCGGATGGGAGCACAAGCTGAATGAGTGCGAGTCCCCTCGAGGATGAGTGAGCGGGAACCGGGGAGTGGTGGGGAGGGGGGGAGGGCGGAGTGACCTAACTTGGGGGCTGAGGACGGGACATCTGACGGTGCTCAGGGCTGACTCTGATCCAGTCATGGGAGCTCATCCTGGCAGGACCTGGGTGGGAAGGGACGTACAGGGTGGGGTGGGGTCAGCCACAGGCAAGGCAGGCTCCTTGGCCCTGGGCTACCCTTCCAGGCAAGGATACCTATTTTCTTTCTTTCCTTTTGTTTTTTGGGACACTCGGCAGTGCTCAGGGTTACTCCTGGGTCTGCACTCGGGAATCACTCCTGGCGGTGCTCAGGGGACCTATGGGGTCAGCCATGCAGCAGGCAAACGCCAAGTCTTCATGTCAAGGTGCCCACGAAACACAGTGTGCAACAAGGGACTCTGCAGAGAACATCAGGGCCAGCAAACGCTACTTGGAAATCAATCAATTCTGAAAAAAACACAAAAAGATGCAAAAGGAGGGGCTGGAGTGAGAGCACAGTGGGGAGGGGTTTGCCTTGCTCATGGCTGACCAAGATTCGATCACCAGTCCTGAGCACTGCCAGGAGTAATTCCTGAGTGCCACGTCCGGCGCTGCGGGGCAGAGCCAGGGGAGGGCCGTCAGGGTGAAATCAGCACTCGAGTCACACAGGGTTCCGTCATTCAGGAGATGGCATGAATGCGTGCGTTTATTCAGAGCATAAGTACAGACTTAAGTATGTTTCCACAGCCCACCCAAAAGAAGGAAAGGGGATGGGACGTGGGAAAGTGGATGGGACAATGAGCAGAGCCATGCACTGTTGGTCAGCCACCTGGTGACCATTTCGGCATAATGCTATTGGTCAGAACGACCTACTTTGATATAGCTTTGACATATCTGCAAAGATTGTGCTGTTCCTCATACACCATTTACAAATCATTTACGAGGGTCCATTTTCCCCAAACTGAAACCTCCTGTACTGGGAGGTTGCCCAGCTTTGAGCAGGAAAAAGGGGGAATGAAAAATCAAGCATTCTTTTACTTGGTCAGTAGGCAACACTGAGCATCACTGAGTGTGACCCAAAAAGCCTAAAAAAAAAAAAAGAGAAAAAAACAGCGCAAAAGAAAATGTGTTTGAGCCTCACTGTCTCCCTGAGACTTGAGCACTCAATGCTGTGTGTGAGCCTAGTAGAGTCTCCGGCCTGAACAAGCCCCCACTCCCCCACCCCCATGCTCCTGTGTTTGGACCCTGACCCTAAATCCTGTGATGGGACCACGTGTGTCCATGACAAAGACGCTAGCAGGCTCACGCCCTGGAACGTCCCTGCTTCACACAGGCATGGCACACGGGTCCTGGCCTGCTAGCGGCCGGCAGTGATTCGGCAGGAAGCAGAAGTGTGAGCCTGAACGTGGGTCAAGTCCGTTCCTTCAGCTTGGAGGGGAGGAATGTACAAGAGGGAGTTATGAGCACTGACTCACAAGCAGGAGGTCCTGAATCCAAGCCCCCGGGGTCAACCGTGCACCTGGCACAAAGCCGGCACAAACCCGGCAGCTCTGCTGTTCCAGCACCACGCAGGAAGGGGGGTGACCCCAGGGGGAGGGCCACCGAGAGAGGAGGGGGACACCACAGAAAGAAGGAGTGAACACAGGGCAGGAGTTGAGGGCTGCAGGGCCAGGAGCACCGGGCAGAGAGCAGCCCTGGGGAGCAGGAGGACACGCGGGCGCCCTTGTCACTGGCCACTCGAGGCAGTCGCACAAGCCGTGTGCAGAGCCACGAGGCTGACAGGACGCCAGGGACGGGGAATCCCCAGCAAGGATTTTTCTTTAAGTTTTGGGCCTTGGGGCCAGAAGTCTAGTACAGCAGGGAGGGCATTTGCCTTGCACACAACTGACCCGGGTTCAATCCCGGCATCCCATAGGGACCCCCGAGCACCTCCAGGAGTAAGTCCTGAGTGCAGAGCCAAGAGTGACCCCGGAGCACGTCCAGGTGTGACCCAAAAACAAAACTACAGCAGAGCAAGCCGAAGGGCACGGAAGCTCCGAGCCACGGAAACGCCGAGGTTGGTGCCCACTCGCCCCCGCCCCCCGCCAGGTCAGGCCTGCCTGCGATCAAGGTGCCCGAGTGTCTCCAGACAGGATCTGCCTCAGCGGCTCGGTGCGTCATCTCAGCCTATCACCCAACTCGACTGGGATTGACTCTGGTTATCTCCTTGTCTAGTTATCTTGGGCATCTCAGGGGCCAGCCGCCCAATCTCTGTCCTCCCACCTGGCCAGGGCAGGATCAGGTGTCAGCAGCTGGGCCCTGAACACCCCACCTGCCAGTCCAAACACAACGCGAG